CATTACGTCTCGCCGTCCAGTAGTGACCCAACATACTCGATCAACTGCTGCGTTACGTCTCGCCGTCCAGCAGTGACCCGACCATCTACTGCGTCCAGTAGTGGCCCAACCGCCCGGGGGTTCCTCTTACCATTAACCAACTATTACAATCATACATCCATACATTCATACATAGCAAAACGCGTGCCTCCACCCTTACAGGCGGTGGAATGCCTCACACACATTATCGCGCATACTAGAAAAATTAACTAAATAATAACTTAAACGAAAAGCGAAAACTAAAAGACCTATGACAGAGATTTTACCCCCCTTTACACTCACCTCGAAAAGATGACTCATCAATTCCTTCCTCGAAGAAACCCCTCTTTAGACGGATTATCTTGGGGAAACCTATTGATAAGAATCCATTTCTTAGACGACCTTTCTTGATTTAAAACCCCTTTTGAAACACTAGAACATCCTCCCCTCAAACTCCAGTCCTTGAACCTCATTCCAAGGGTCCTTTAACCCCCACAAAAATTTTCTAAAATTAATCCCTTAAAAAACGACCATTTTTCTTAATTATTTTAGTCTTGGACGAATTTTCCACCTAACTAGAACCTTCTTAAAAATTCGGATAATAATTTTCCCATGTCCATCATGAGCACCTATACCCTGGAAAATTATCAAACCCTTCAAATCCCCTCGGAAGGATTTTTTATTTAATTAAAACGAATATTAGAACAATTTCTAAAAATATAAATACATCTCCAAAAATCCCCAAATTAAATTACAATCATCTCCTAGACTTCGTTCAATTTATAAATCTAAATTCAGAAAACAACCTTTAGAGAGGCTCGAAACAATTTAAAACATCTAAAAATACGTTTCTGGAAATTTCCAGCAGCTTTAGTGACTAATCAAAATCTGTCACTAAAAGCCTGTAGCGCCTGTTGCTAAAAACCCAGAATTGCATCGTCATGAAAAATCACCAAATCGATCGATCTAACTCAAAGGAATCGAGTTCCCTTACCTCTAGGACGTGCCTAGGCCTAGGTTGGATGACCCGGGACGTTGATCCCCTTGTTGATCGAACCCTCAACGTCACCGCTAATAAAATACGAGCTTCGGATTAGACTATCGATAAATTGAGTTTAGAAATTGCGAAGGGGTTCGCGATCCTTACCTAGAACGAAAGGGATAGGTTCAGGGTCGGGATCGGGATCCGAGTCGATAACAAGAAGGCGGCGAGCTTCTTCCTTTTTCTTCTCTCCCGCGATGGGGATGCTGCCAGGGCGGCGGTGGGATGCGCTGGGAAACAAGTAAATTGCAGGGGGTTTCTTTCTTTGTGGCGTAGGGAAATAAAGGGGTGGGAAGAGTTTTTGGGGGCCGCTCGGCCCCGGGGCTAAAATATTTTTTTAAGTAATGTTATAATAATAGTAATATAATAATAATATTATAATATTATTATTTTTAATCCGTGGTTGTAACTCTTAGTACGTAACCGTTAACCTAACCGCTCATAAAATAAGGTCGAACCCAAATCTAAAATACCGGGGTGTTACAAGTAATACACATAGAGATCCAGTTCAAGAATAAACTAGGGAACCCCATTGCTTCCAACACAGACAGAAGAAATTGCCAGTCAACTGAATCGAAAGCCTTCATCAAATCAACTTTAACAATACTGCGAGGAGAGATATTCTTCCAATTATATTTTTGTACTAGTTCATGGGCCAACATAATGTTTTCACCAATGACTCTGCCTTTCACAAAAGCTGTCTGATTGTTACTAATCATATGGGAAAGACAATCACTAAGTCTGATTGCTATAATTTTTGCAATGCACTTATATAAGATATTACAGCATGAGATTGGCCTAAAACATTTCATCTCCTCTGGGTTCTTAGTCTTAGGAATAAGACCTAACAATGTGGAGTTTACCTCTATAGGGAAGGATGAATGACTAAAGCAGTGCTGAATTGCCCCCACCACTTCCTCCCCAACAATATGCCACGCCACATGAAAGAAACAGGCTGAGAAGCCATAAGGGCCAGGGCTTTTCTCCCCTTTGAAACCAAATATAACACTTTTTATCTCCTCTGCCGTGACAGGTTTGCACAACTCCTGAGTCAGGGTGCATTGAAGTTTCCTCTTCAATAACTTCTTGAAAAATTCCATAGGTTTACTTTGAACTAACTCATCTTTTGTCCCTAGAAGGTTTTCATAGAAGGCCACTGCTATCTTACACATTGAGTCAGTATCATTAACTCTCTCACCAGCTTCATTCAATAATGATCTAATAGTATTCCTCTGCTGTCGAACTTTAACTGAATGATGAAAGAAAGGGGAGTTAGAGTCGCCTTCTTTAATCCAAATCTCTCTTGACTTCTATCTCAAGAAAGATTCTTCATCAAGTCTTAACTGCCTGAGTTCTTTACCCTTTACCATCTCAGCCTCAAATGTCTCACTTGAAGGATTAGAGAGAGCATCCATCTAAGCATACATCAATTCAGACTCTTTCATCTTCACACGCTCCCTTATATCAGAGTAGACTTCCTTGTTTAGTGTCTTAAGACTTCTTAAGGATACTCAACTTCTTACATATCCTAGACGGGGGAGATCCCGAGACCTCAGAGTGCCATGCTTCTTTCACAATGTCAAAGAAAGGCGGATGACTAACCCAAAATTTGAAGAATCTGATCGGTTTTGGCAGAGACTTGAGAGAGCTATCAGTATCCAAATAAATTGGACAATGATCTGAGACAGAAGGTTCAAGCAACTCAACTGCACTGCTAGGAAGTCTCACTAACCATTCAAGGTTGACAAACACCCTATCAAGTCTTCGTGCAATAGGGTTTTGTGACTGCTTGTTTATCCAAGTAAACCAAGGACCTGATGATTTGTGTTCTATAAGCTCAGACTGATCTTGCCAGTTTCTAAAGTCCTCCATACTACTGTTAAAAGCACGGTTGTTGGATGCCTCACTAGGGTCATTTATAGCATTAAAATCACCCATAATTGACCATGTTAACTGAGATACTTTTAGTCTTGATAGGTCCCCATACAATCTCCTACGATCTACCTCTTCATTAGATGAATAGACAAAGGTAGCAAAGAAAGGGATACCTGAGCTTACTAGCACATGGATGAACTGACCTGACTGATCAAGGATAGTAAGCTTGACATCCTGCCTCCACAGGAGCCAAACTTTCCGCAAACCTGTTGCACTATTCGCCACCTCACTCTCCCACCCTGGGAATCGATTGTGAATTATATCTTCTGACTCAAGCTTTTTTATTCTTGGCTCTAAAATAACAACTATATCTATTTATTTCCTATTTCCTATAAGCTGTACAGCTTTATTCTTACTACTATCTTTAAAACCTCATGTATTCCAAACCGAAATCTTCATCGCTTCTTTCCTCCTCCCCCCCCCCCCTCTCTTAGCAGGGGGAACAAGTGGTGGAGCAGGTTTTTTCTTTGACCTCTGACTCTCTACTGTAATCCACGGATTGTTCTCTTTCCCAACAGGAGTCGACTGCTGAGTTAACCTCCCAGAGGAATCTGGTGAGCTAACTAAAACAGACAATTGCGGAATGGTTTGAGAGCTCCCAGGAACCCCTGATGACCCTTTCACCGCTTCCACAAAACTCACTGCTGAGCTCCCATTTGATGGGAGAGAGATTCCCTGAGCACCAGTCGAGCTTGAGATATTCCCAGAACTCTCAGAGTGATCAGGCCAATTACCCTCTTGAGTATATACATCCGTCAACCCAGACACAGCTTCCTCAAGACTCACCTCTTCCTCAACCTTCCTCTTAGGCACCCATTTCTTTCCTTGCTTACTGAGCCAATCACAGTCATGGTCATAGATCTCACAACGCTCACATACTACTGGTTTGTTCAAATATTCAACCTCCACTTCGAACGATGGATCTTCATCTGGGTAAAGCTTCACCCTCTCTGGAAACCCACAGTCCGCAGCTAGGTCCAGACACACCTTTGCAAACCCTAACTGCCCTCCCAGCCGAGTCGATTGATCCATCCTCGACGGTCGGCCAATCGTACTAGCAATCCACTCATGCCCTTCAAACGAATGATATTCAAGGGGAATCCCCCAGATCTTTACCCAAATCGGAAGAGTCTCTATCTACGACTGAACTGGCTGAATACCCGGCGACCACTTCCTAAAGAACACAGGATTTCCTTGGAATTGCCAAGGCCCTGATCGAAAAATCCATGGACTTGTGGATGCCGAGGGAAATTGGAAAACCATCAGATGAGGACCAAATTTGGAGACTCGAACTGGCCCTCCCCTCTCCCAGAGACTAGTAGCCCACTATTGAAGCGCCACTGGCTTCGGCGGAGCACCCATAAATTGAGCAATAAGGCTATCCTTCCATCGTTCTTCTCCTCTTTGTTTAACCTCTCTCGGAAGCCGAAAACCATCATTCTTCCGCTCAGGAAAGCAGAACTTCATCCTATTCGCCGGATCCACCGAGAAAAGCGAAGCCCAAGTGTTGTTCACCGGAGGAGCCTCCTCCGCTAGGGCCTCAGTCGACGGCGAAGACGCCATCGAAGGGGAAATGCCAAACAGAACGAGAGAGAAGAGAGAGAAAAAAATTATGTTTTAGTTTTTGTTCTATAATTTTTTTTATAATTTATGTATGTTAAACTATTATACATTGAATTATTAATATAACTAACTTGATTTTAGGTATTGTTACACACTTTTATATCTTTCGTTTATTTATGAAAATTTGATTTTATTAAATGAGCTCTCGATAGATATTTATTTATTTATCAGTTGTTATCGAACCCACAATTTAGAATATAAACATAAGATATTATTAATCTTTTAGCATACAATAGTGACAAAGAAGTTTAAAAAAATTAAATAAGCAAATATGTTTCAATTAATAAAAAAAAATAAGCAAAGAGCTTTTCATTCTTCTCCCTTCTCGTATGTTGCTATATGATAATATATAATATCGCACTCTAAATCCCACGAATATCGTACACTATCAGTTACTTGTGCAATTTTGGAAGGATGAGGAAACACATTAGCATCCACATCGTCAATCTTCTACTTATTCATTTAATTTATCTTCAAAATGTTCTAGCATAACCAACCAAAAATAGAACTATTAGTTGTCACTATTTTATTAAAATGATATTTTTTCAGCAAACTAAATTGCATATAAACACAATTTATGAATTTATATTTGTAGAGAGCTACATACCCCCTTCAAAAAAAAAAAACAATGGTGTAATTTTTTTTACCTAATAACAACATAGACGGATTGTAAAAGTTGCATACTTCAATAAAACTCAACTTATTGTATCTTGTAAAATCTTCATTCATGAAAACAATTGATGCATCAATCCAAATGGTTGTTGTCAAGAAAACGATCAGGCCAAAATTGAGTTTTAGTTAGGGATTCATTTAGGAAAAATTTTCATGCTAAGGAAACAAACAAATGTCATTGCAAACGTGTAGAAATTGAAAAAACGTCGAGATAGACAACTTAGAGACTACCACCATCATTTTCTTTCTTCTTTGCACCTTTATAAAAACTCACATGTGTCCCTTCTACTTATAACCCTCTACTACGTTTTACTTACTGACCATATCATAATCATATAGGTAGTAGCATGTCACTCATGAACATAATAAACAACCCTAACAACTCTGCTTTCCATTTTATCATCCACGGGATTGGGATGCAATAGGCAAGTAAAATGATCAATTATTCAACCAAAGGAGAGATACTCTAAGTCCAAGCAATAAACCATTCCAATTGTCTATTACATTTTTACATAAAAGTATACAACATAAAGAACCATAAAACAACTACCTAAAAACCCAAGAGAAATACATTCATTGATTTGAGCAGAAAATTTTACCATCCAGCCGTTGTAATCTGGAACAAATTAAGAAACAAATGGAAAGAAGAGTTTAATATGACCAGTCAACCGCAAACAACCACATATCTCTAGGAAAAAGAGACCAGTTGTCAACTACAGATTAAGGGTGAAGAGGGAGCAATGAGCAATCACCGACTTCATTCAATTCATCTTCGCAATGATAGGATGAGAATTTTTAGTCAATAGTCAAACATATGTTACAGATGCTATATTGTATCCCATCTAATCATTGTCTCAAGTAACTCCACCCTCATATTCTCTAACAAAGAGTAAAAACTCAATATGCCTTACTATTTCATTTCCTGTATCTGCTTGAAAAAAAGTAGAGAAAAGAAATGCTATAAATCTTAGGATTTTGAGGAAATAAGAAAAAAGATTTGTTTGTTTTTATGTGGCTTGATCCAATTTCTTTATTTTCAATGTTGCACTTTATTTTTATAGAGATAATTTGTATGAGAAAAGGAATATGAACAAACCAAAATGTTGCATTCCGTGTTATTAACTTAAATTACGTTTTATTTATAATAATGACAATTTAAAGAGTCAACAAAAAATTATATAAGCAAGAATTAGAATTTGTCCACTATGGAAAGGTGAGAGCTAGCCATTTGTTGATGTGACACTAATTTAATTTTAAATTCCTATAAGATTAAGTAATGATGATTTATAATTATTTGAAATTTTTTATATACGTTTAACAATTCATAAAAATATTGTGACATTTCACATACATGTGAATTCTTGGATGTATTGTAGACAAATTTATTGTAAATACAAATTGCTTACTGTTACAAAATAGAAAATTCCTATTTGATACTTTGATATTGAAAAAGGTTTTATTATTGCCAAAAGTTGCCATGGAGTCATAGATACGCACCATATAACCAAATGACTATTTATAATTGCCTTATTAAACTCATGCTTATTAGAAATTCTTCATTTTAACGCAATACCTTGATTTAGATTCTTGTAACTATAAAAAAAAATTGTTTAGATATCTCACCTAACATGCTTATATTTATTTATTGTCTCAATACTCAAATTTTGATTTGTCTAAAGATATTCCACTATTAAATGAAAATTGTCAATCCTTATTGGATCAATGCCTAGGTCAGTGATTGATGAAACATGATGTTTATCGTATATTCTCAACAAATAATTCTTTAACATTCACACGTGTCATTTTTTAAGATGTATTGTGTCTCGGCTTAAGGTATGAAGTCAAAGTTTGTCAAAACTCATACTTAAGTCACTTTGAAAACTTTGATGTATAATCCCTCGATAATAACTCTAAATCCGAAAAGAAAATTTATTAGCATATTTTTTATGACCTCAATTGAGTATGCTCAACCAAATCATCTAAATCAAATATTTTAATGTGAACTTAAACCAAATTATAAAATATTGCACATGATTACTCTTCTTTTGTGAAATTTCAGGTAGAATATTAATATATTTTTTTCACTTAATCGGGATGAATAGAAAAAATTTTAAGAAATTATTATTATTCGATCAAGTTATATTCTGAAAATTATTTTATTATATGAAATAATTATTTATATAACAACTATTTTAACTGGTAGACATATATATTATAAAGAAGTATAATAAGAGAATGTTTAATATATAAATTCATATATTTCATTTTTCAAAGTCGATTGATTGTCAAACGTTTGATTTATCTCTTTGTGTTGTTATATTTTATTTAATAGACAAAGATATTATTATTTATGTGTGTATTTCTTTAAAATTTTCATCAAAATTTAACTTATTATTAAGTTTTGGTTAAATGAGTAGATAATTTATTTGATAAGATTTAATCATATATTTATTGTTTAAACAAACCCGATATATGTTATTCTTTGTTTCCATCTTTATATTTTGTTTAATTGACAAAAATATTATTGTTTATGCTTGTTTTTATTTACATTCTTAATGTAACTTATTATTAATGTTGAGTAAAAGTGAGCATAAATACTAAAAGAAGAGAGAGATAACTTCATAAATCAATAATAAATTTTTTTGGTAGTAAAAACATGTCCACCTAGGCAACTTGTTATTTCTCCAAGTTCTTATGTGCCAAGAAGTTACTTTTGAATTGTCATAATATATAGTATAGATAGATAGATAGATAGATAGATTTTATTAACTATTCCTGTGGGTATGCTATAGCACGAAGAAGCTTTTTGAAATTGAAGTTATTGAATTCTTATATAAAATTTTAGAGCCACATTTCAAATTTTCGGAAAAACATTTAGGGCCACATTTTAAATTTTTTATTAGGGCCTACGAATATCGTGGGTCAGCCCTGTCTATCATGACCACGTGGTAGCATCTCATCATAATCACCAGCCAAATCCTCTTCAAGTTGACCATAATGTTGATTTTAAAAATCAAATCCTCTTCAAAAGCTTCGATTGCATACGCGGAATCCTTGGCGGCGTTTAACAGTGGCGCAGAGGTGGTAGTAGTTTCTGGTCTGTTGTTGGTGAAATTTAAGCTGCGATTAGCTCCTCAGCTGATGGTGGGTGATGTCGATTGTGCGGCAGAAATCACGATCTCCTCTACTACGGTAGTCGAGGTCGCGACTATGATTGGTGGTGCGACGTCGACAACTTGTGTTATAGTTGTGGTTGCGAAATAGATGATGGTTGACGCTATGATGGATAAGTAGCAGCATCGGTCTCCAACTCGGTAGTTGGCGACCTCATGGAGTCTGCGCAGTCAGCGCTATACCTATCAACATATCGGTCATACATAGTGATAAATTTTGAATACAACATTCTTAATGTGTGTCACTGCCTATGAGTCACCGTCTCATTCTTCAACAGGCACGCGGTCAGAGTCCGTCTCTCCCACTGCTTGGGAACTTACTGTTCATGTTCTATTTCACTCCTCGACGTTGTCGGAGAACCAGATTCTAATACCAATTGTTACAAGACTCAATCTTTGGTCTCCGTAATTTGGATACGTGCTCAACGCTCTCGATTAGAGGATCCCCTTAATGGCGAGAATCGTTTGGAGGTTGAGATTCTCCAAATTTATCTATTTAATCAATTTGTGTATTCTAATTTGATGCATTGATTAAATGTATGGTTTTGGACAATACCTTGTTTGGAGATTTATATTGTATTTTTTTTATAAAGAACAGTTGGGTGTATAATCCCTTATCAACAATCTCACCTTTTAGTAGAGATTGATAATCATTAGTATTGAGTGATTGTATGTGGGCCCATGAAAAAGATAATACATGTATTCTATCTAAAATGTAACAAAAAAATGACTTAATCTTGACATTACATGAATTGGATAAATACATAATTTAAAATCTCAACCTCCAAACGACCATTACGAAATTAGTAATTGAATAACAAAGCATGAAACATAAATTGAGTTCCAATTTTCTCATATTGTTAATCATAAAAAAAAACACATATTTATAAAGTTACACAACCAAATTCGTTTTCTTCTCACCCTACCCTTTTGCATCTCTCTACATCCTTTTCCTACTAGAATTCCCACTCGTCTCTTACAAGAAACATTAATTAAATACTAAACAACCAAGAAACATTAATTAAATACTAAACAACCAACACACCTCCTACTAATCCAACTAGGACACCTATAAGAACTACTAATTATATCAAAACACCCTAAATTAATACGATACACATAATTATAAAAGAAAAATATGTTAACTCATACACAAGCCCAGAAATTGTCGAATTATCATGATAACTTGTCTCGTAACACCAATCACGACAATGACAGCTTGTGTGGTAGCTGTGTTAATGAAATCAATGACAGTCGACGTAGCGATGTATGGAGCATCAACAGTCTCCAACTCGACAGTTGGCAACCTCATGAAGTCGATGCGGTCAATGCAATACCTCTCCACATATCAATTCTACATAGCGACAAATTCAAAAACGGCATTCTTAATGGGATGTCAGAGAACCAGACTCTGATACCAGCTAGTACGAGACACAATCTTTGGCCTGCGGACATTGGATACATTCTCGACGCTCTCGAGCAGAGGATCCTCTTAATGGAAAGAACTATACCAAATACTACTAAAGTAGTATAATTGAATAACAAAGCAAGAAATACTCTTCTCGTAGTATTACTCATAAACAAACCACACATTTATAAAGTTACCCAACTAAATTCGTTTTCTTCTCACCCTAGCCTTTTGCCTCTCTTCTCTTACAAGAAACATGAATTAAATACAAACATCTCCTAATCCAGCTAAGACACCTATAACTACTAATTATATAGAAAAACACCCTAAATTAATACGAAATACATAATTATAAAATAAAAATATGTTAATGATACACAATCCCAAAAGTTACCGAATTATCACGATAAATTGTATCAAAACTAGGACACCTATAACTACTAATTGTATCAAAACACACTAAATTAATACCAAGTCCATAATTATAAAAGAAAAACATATTGACCGATACAGAAGCCCAAAAATTACCGAATTATCGTGATATATTAGGAATGTCAAATATATCCGTAACCGTGGATATCAGCCCGAATCCGGCCTAATCGGGTAGGGTAAAACCCGAACCCGAAGGATATTTAGTGGGTACGGGTAAAATCTGAACCCGAATATTTCGGGTAATAGGTGGGCATGGGTTTCTCACTATCCAACCCGAACCCACCCGATTATACACATGCATATGTATTTTGTGTAGAAATAATCATTATTTTTCTCTAACATATTTTATATTTAGCATGCAAATATAATATTTTCATGAAATTGTGTTGTTTTAATTAATTTCCTCATTCTAGTGAATTATTGTCATATTTTTCCTCTTATGTAATGTAAGAATACGTGTGAATGTTAACATATTAGTTGGAGTTATGAAGAGAAATTATCACTCATGGATAACCGTGGATACTCGAACCCGAAGGGATATGGACATGGTTTTGATTTTCCACCCGTTTCGCATGTGGATATGGGTATGAGTAAAACGCGAACTACTTTGGGTAGGGTAATGAATATGCACTATCCGAATCCGACCCAACCCATTGCCATCCCTAGATGATATGTCTAGTAACACCAATCACTCTCATAGCTCACATATATCATCAACTCCCTTCGCCTTCCAAACACTCAAAGCATATGTGATATGATTATTTATCCAGTTTCTTTCTACTGTATATATATGAGGTGGTGAATGAAACCTTGCTATCAGATGGCCCTTCGAAGAAAGAAAGAGGATAAGTACGGCCATCCCCATCAAAAAACACAAGGCTATGAACGATGACTGCTCCCTTCCAAAAACTCATGGGGGCGCCTGAAGGGCCCTCTTCCAAAAAGGGATAGTGATCGATCGAGCTCCCGTATCAGGCTATAAGACATGTCCATCAGTAGAAATGACAATTTTGACCTGACTCGTTTTATTCGATCTGTTTGACCTATTTTAAAGCGGGTTCGACCCTCTCTGTAGACGGGAAGGAGCGGGCAAGGTACTTCTCATCAACTTGACCTGCTCTGACTCGCTCTATTCTTGACTTGTTCTTGTCTAAATTACATGTAATCTTAGTCAAATTACTTATGATTTTCCTTTTATTATCTCATATTTTAGCTATAATAAAGTTGTAAATAAGTGAATCTCAATTTCTCCAACAATTTAACTACATTTTATCATATTATGATCTTTTTCTTGGTCTTTTAATAAAAATAACGAATGTTTTTCATATAAATTAAATACTTATTGGGTGGACCTGTCCGACATAATAAAATACCTGACCTGAATCCAACCTACCACAAGTTAGTTATGGATATCGAGATACCAGCCCCGGAGCTGCCGGTTGCGATTCCTAACTGCCACCTACCATGCTAATTCCCACCTTGTCCTTCCTTCCTTCGTCTAACCCTGCCGTCATAAAACTTACCCTTCCACGCAACTCCATTCCTTCCATGTCCTCCTCCTTCTTTCTTCTTTTCTGTCACCAATATCTCATCATATCAGTCGTTTCCTTTCTTTTCTCTTCTGGTTTGGAATCTACCATTGTCGTTTCGCTTTCGGTATATATTATAGGTGTGGGTAGCCGAAAACGATGGCCGTGATGGCCGCGTGAAAGCATCAGGACAAGGTGGATGCTCATGCTGGGTCAACAGTCCATTGATCCTATAGTTATTAGTTTCTAGATACGAGTAGCTAGTGACCATTTTTATAAATTATGCAATGGTTTGATCTGTACTGGATCATGTCAATTCGAATTGATATTGAGAGCGGAACACAATCGCCATAAAATAACGGGGTCTAGTCTGTTACATTATAGAATTATTGGATCTTAAAGAAAAAAATAACTAAAATTATATTGAAATCGTATCAGGTCAAAATTTACTTGATTTTGTCGAGTTTCATATCGGACTAGATCATATTATTACCGGTGGCAGAGCCAAAAATTTAGTGAGAGGGGCTAAAATTATAGACTCCGAGTATGAACTGGTGAGCTTTATAAACTAAGTCATGACTTCTTCAGCTTACAAACATAGTCCTCTTTTCCTGGAACCTAGAATCCTTCTAGCTAAGTCATGTAAATTTCTTACTCCAACTCTCCATGTAGGAAAGCTGTCTTCACGTCTAGCTACTCGAGCTCAAAGTTATAATGTGTCACTATCGCTAGCAACACCCTGATCGAAGTGTGTCTGACCACTGGTGAGAAAATCTCATTGTAGTCAACTCCTTCCCTCTGCAAGAAGTCTCTTGCAACTACCCGAGCTTTAAATTTAATGTCATCTTCAAAAGTGATTCCTTCCTTCTTCTTGTAGATCCACTTGTTTATAACAATCTTCCTTCCCTGTGGACGTTTGACCAACTCTCAAGTTTGATTTATGTCATGAGATTCCATCTCACCCCCCCCCCCATTGCAGTGAGCCACTGAGCGGCTTCACTACACGAAACTGCTACTCTGTAGGATTGTGGTGCACCCGCATCCACCTCTTCGGCTACCTGAAAAGCGTATGCCACCATGTTCTCGAAGCCATACCTCTGTGGAGGTACTCCTATAGTTGCTCTCTTGGGTCTACCGCAAACTATAGACTGTTGAGCCCCACACTGGACTGTGAAGTTTCTGGCACATCAGAAACATCTTCATGTTGATCTTCTCCACCTTGGTGCTCAAACTCACTCTCTTTAAGAGTTTGCAGCTCCACCTTTTATCAACATTCCTGCTATCTCCAACAACAGTAACTTTGAACATGGTATTAAACATGGATTGCTCATCAAATATCACATTACTGCTAAGTATAACTCTATGCTCAGAAGGTGACCAGACTCGAAATCCCTTAACTCCATCTCCAAAACCCACAAAACACCCTTCTTTGCTCTTGGATTCAGCTTACCCTCATCCACTTGACAGTAAACAGGACAACCAAAAAATTTCAATGAAGAGTAATCAGCAGGCTTACCATACCACACCTCATAAGAAGTTTTGCACTCGATTCTCGTGTCAGGTCCACAGTTGATAAGGTAGCACGCCATGTTTACTATTTCTGTCCAAAACCTCCTCTCTAGTCTAATATTAAAGAGCAGGCACCTTGCTATCTCCAACAATGTCGGGTTCATCCTTTTTGCAACGCCATTCTGCTGTGATGTGTGTCTAACGGTCCGATGACGGACAATCACTTCATTCTTGCATAATTCGTCGAACTCAGAACTATAGAACAACAGACCATTTTCCGTTCGAAGTTTCTTGATCTTCTTCCCGGTCTGATTCTCCACCAAAGTCTTACACTGCTTGAACTTCGTGAAGGCTTCACTTTTCTGATTTATCATGGAAATCCAAGTAAACCTTGAGTAATCATCAATAATAGACAGAAAATACATGTTGCCTCCAATGGATTCAACTCGTGAAGGACCCCAACAGTTAGAGTGGTGGTAATCCAGTATCCCCTTCGTCTGGGGGATACCCTTCTGAGGAAGCTTGCTGCGATGTAGCTTCCCAAACACACAATGCTCACAGAATTCCAAATTTTGCACCTTGTGCCCACAAAGAAGATCCATCTTCGACAAGACTTGCATCCCACGTTCACTTATATCACCCAATATCATGTGCCAGAGAGTGGTCATATCTTCCTGTGGAACCTAAGGTGACACAACTAAGCATAACCTGATAACATGGACCCTTGTAATGCATACAAATTCCCACACTTCACACCCTTCAGCACCTTCCTAGAACCTTTGCAGACATACATAACTGTACATCTTCCCTTTAAACTGAGACCCTTGTTGTTGAGAAGACTCAAGGAGATCAAATTCTTCACAATCTGTGAAACATGCCTGACTTCGTTCATGGTGCAAAATGAACTATCATGTGTCCTAATCTTTATAGACCTGATTCCAACCACCTTGCAGACAGCTCCATTTTCCATAACCACTTTACCACCATCTATCTGCTCGTTGGCTGAAAAACAGTCCTTATTCGGAGACATGATATGAGCCAGCAGTATCCAGAAACCACACATCGCCACGATGTGCCTTCTCATCTACAACCAAGGCGAGATCGTCTTTAGAACTGGTGTCTACTTCTGCCACGACAACAAAACCTTAATTCTTCTGATGCCTTCTCTTCCTGGGACAGTTGTACTTCCAATGCCCCACTTTCTTACAGATGTGACAGACATCGTTGGCTGTGATCCGGGACCCTTAGAATTTGAGTTTCTGTTCGAATTCCCTTTACCATATTTCTTCTTTCCCTTTCCACCTCTAACAGCCAACCCCTATGCTTCACCACCTGTACCAGATCCGGATGCCTGATCTCTCTCGTGTGAAGAGCAGATCTGACATCCTCCAACGCCAAGCTATCTTTACCAACAATAAAAGAATCTACGAAATTCTCATATGAACTCGGTAAAGATACAAGCAGGATTAGGGAAACATCTTCATCATCAACTTTCACATCTATATTGCGTTAATCCAACAAAATAGAATTAAGTTGTTCCAGGCGTTCCCTCAAATGTGTACCTTCTTGCATCCTCAAGCTGAACAATCGTTGCTTGAGGTGCAGCTTGTTGGTTAAGGACTTAGTCATGTACACTTTCCAGCTTCAATTACAAGCCCGTGGCAGTCTTCTCAGCAACGACTTCGATGATTACATCATCGGACATGGATAGCATGATGGTCGAGTTGGCCTTCTCCTCCAAGGTATTCCACTCATCATCATTGACCGCTGCCTTCTTCTGTTTCGCAGACAGTGGCCCCCACAGCCCTTGATGTTTAAATAAAGCTTGCATCTTGATCTGACATATAGCGAAGCTATTCTTCCTCGTGAACTTATCGATCCTCATGTTTACCGACGTCATTCTTCATAATAAAAATCCTAGTCTGATTTCCAACCGGTACTCTAATACCACTTCTCACGACTATTTTTTACGAATCGAGAAATAGGAGGATTCGACAATGCAAGAAACGAAAGCGCACACACACGACACATGATTTACGTGATTCACTAACACAATGTGTGTTAGCTAGTCCACGGGTAGGAGAGAGTCAATTTTCACTATACTTGAGGAGATACTTTTTACATAGGAGTATGAGAAGTATTTATAGTACTTCTCCTAGGTCTAACCCTAATCCAATATGGTAAAGGAAAAGTGGTTACAACCATGCCCAAAACCCGAACCCAAATAATATCAAGCCTCGTGACTTTCAGTTGTAGCGGCTGATAGTCCTATTCAAATTATCAACCTTAGCAAATATGAAAAATTGTCTAAATCATGGTCACGTAACAAACCTTCCAGGTGTCACCTTAAAAGAAAAGGATGGCCCATAGATAAAGATGATCACTTTTGACTTCCATCCCTAGTAACAAAGTGCTTTCTTCTTTTAACAAACAAAGACAAAATGGTATTCAATGCATATTTCTCCAGTGTTAAACAGTGTGCATTGACAGATCACAGGAAGTACAAAATTTGTCGCACTTAACCTTCTGAATGAAAGTCCACAACATTGATTCATCACCCTAGTACCTTTTATGGCCCTTGAAAACAGGACACTCACCAATCAAGTTACTAATCTGCTAATTTTGCTATTCTCTTAGCATGCAATTTACGAGAGGGATTTCATACTCTTGAATTACGTACGGACGAATTGTGACCATCGCATGAATTCGAAAACAAAATTACAACTTATTAAATAGCATCATACGCTTGTGAAATCCTTATCACTGTTGGCATGTAAGCACCATAGTCTAGTTGGCTTACACTTATCACAAGATCATTCCTTTTGTTTTGCGCTAAGATTCCCACACTTTCAATAAAGACTATTAACAGAAGAAGTAAATTTATTTAAATGATTGATTTTTTGCCCACCACCAACAAGAACCTTCTCATTAAACCCCTCTACCCATTATTAACAACAAAAAGGGAAACACCCAATTAACCACATTTTAGGAGCTTTCCAACAACATAGGGTTTCTCTATCTCAGTTGAGGGTTTTCCTTATTTATTTGCAATCATGACTCCAATCATATCCTCTTAAGCACCAAACAAACAACAGCAAAACCATAATTAACACCCTTCTTTCACCACACGTTATTTATTTATACACATACATACCAAAAGGATCGAAGAGCTACTAGCAAAGTGGTCGATTCAGTACGGCCATGAGGACCAAAAGGCCTGGTCCTCGAAACTTGCAGGTGGATCCGAGTAATCCTCATCTTCCAGCTTCGGGAACACATACTGATCAGGCAGCAGATTCCTGCAGCAGAAATTGTTGTTGTTGTGATTATCGGCTTCGTCCTGAGAAAGATCCGACGACTGGTTGTCTGGTTCGAAGACATAGGACGAAATCGAATCTCCAGCTTCCAGCAGTGACGAGTGGACGACACCATCTGTGTAATGTGGGCTGTCTGCATCGAATATGTCACTTCTAGCTGAGCTTATATCTTCCTGCTTACAACCAGCTCCTGAAGAATCCACAATTGGTTTCTCCAATGGTATTTCTCGAGACATGGCATCATTGTGAGACAAGTCCAAGGTTCTCGTAGCTCTCTCTTTCTTCTGCAGCTTGTCTGTCAGCAAATTGATCTGCAGAAGAACAAAGTTTGGAACTTTAATGAAACCCATGAATGATTCCATTGATGGAGCTTGAAGAGGAAAAGTCAACAGAATGAATGAGCTGCGTAAGTTGAAGAACTAATTCATCACAATAACTAATCGTTGAGTGTTAGAAGCATAATTCAGTATTGTTTAGATGTGGTTGTAACCTTCTTGAGAGAGTCTAAATATAAATCTTATATCATTATGCTAATCAATACCTCAAATCAAAGTCAATTCATTAATCCGAAATTTGCAACGAATATCAATCTTATACCATTTCCTTAATTGATGCTTCAACCTCTAAGTTTACCTAGAGATTATGCAAAACTTTAAATAAGGGGAATTCAATTTAGCGGTTTACCTCGGTCTTCAATTTGTCTTTCTCCTTGAGAAGGCCATCGTAGTCGGCCTTGAGAGCGTCAAAGCTTGATTGGAGAGCGTCGTAATCTTTCTCCAGCCGTTTGGTCTTCCACCGTGCGCGGCGGTTCTGGAACCAAATAGCGACCTGCCGAGGTTGCAGGCCGAGGTCCTTGGCCAGCTGGATTTTGCGTTCGGGCTCCAGTTTGTTCTCCACCTCGAAGCTCTTCTCGAGAAACTGGACTTGGTCCACCGAGAGTCTCCTCTTCTTCTCCGGTTGCCGGAAATACTCGTCTAAGTCGTCGTCGCCGTTTTCATCGGCGTCAAATGCGGTGAAGAAGGGCCTGCTTGTTGTTGTTGATCCGTTCGTATCGTCGAAACGGACTATGGATCTTTGACCTGGAAGAGTACAGAGGAAAACAGAGGATCAGGATCGTGGGTTGGCCCCAAAAAATGGAAAGATCCCATCTTTATGATCAAATCACAAGGTAACCAAAGCATAAACAAATTCTAAATCAAGAATCCCCAGTAGAAACCTTCAGAACCCAGTTTGGGTGACCAGAAACAGAGATCTGCGGGCAAGAAAAACAGAGTGAAAAAACAGAGCAGTGAAACAGGGGAGGGTTTTTACCGAGGAAAGAAGGAGAAGAAGAAGAAGACGAAGGCAGGAAGAACGATCCAAGGGGCTGAGAAGCGCCACCTCGATGGTTCTGAAGCAGGATAGTACCCAAACCGCCACCGTCGCGGCCGCCACCGCCGCTAGCACACGCCGCCATGAAATTTCCGAAAGTCAGTAGCTTTTTTCTTTCTGAGATTTGCTTCCCCGCAAGAGAAAATGGAAAACGGAAAAACAGGTGAGTTGTTTGTGTTGTCTAGATCCCACAAGTTCTTTTTGTTCGTTTGGTGTGTTCCCCTCAAGCTGCCATTGACAAAGGCAAGCTCAGGCAAAACAACCGTCACTGTAAAAAAAAATCGAACAGTTCTCCGAATCTGAGTCGTGTCACAGCGCAGCGAAAAACAGAGTCTTCTCCTTCTTTCCCCTTTTGATCACGGTGAAAATATATCTAAGACTTATGACGAAAGAAGCTGGTGATGATTATGTAGGAATTGTGGGAGCACCAGCAGCAGCTCACACCCATCACTGCTCAGAATCGGCGGCAGGGAAATCAGAGTTGGGTAAGTTCAGAAGGGAAACACGATTGGGAGAGATGGAATCAGGGGAGAGAGGAGATGATAGGTTTTCTATTTTATTTCTTTTTTTCTTCTTTCAGGATTTGGAGAAGGATTTTGGGTTTATAAGGAGTAGGCAGCGGCCGGAGACGGAGATTTGGAGATGGCGAGAGGAATGAACTGACGATCGTGCCCTTCCATCTCAGGACAAAAATGCTCTGCTTTCTGTTCTCTTTCCATTTCCCCATTTGTGAAAGCAATGGGGTCTGTAGAGGTTACAAACAATGTGGGATTTTCCATTTCTTACCGGTAAACAGATCTGAGGTCAATGGAGGAGTTTTTTTTTTTTTTTACTTTTACAGGTAAACAGATAAGAGTAGTTTTCTACCAAAAAAGAGGAGATAAGAGTAGTTACTTGAGGGGTAGGGAAGGGGAAAGGAAGGGCGGTACTGGGATATTTGGGTTGAATTTTTTTTTTTTTTTCATGTTCTTGCGTTTAAAAATAAGGTTTTATGTGTTTGTTTCATTGTTTGCATAGAAAATAGGATTAATTGTAACTTTTTTTTTCTTTTCAAAAGATCATTTGACTTGACAATAAAGATATACGTTCAAGTTTCATATCAAATCGAACCGCAAAAATCTAAACTTATTATAGAGGTTGGGAACAAAGCAAAGTTCTTTTTAGCCATTATATGTAGGGATGGCAATGAGTCGGGTCGGGTCGGTTGTGGATAGTGAATATCCGTTACCCTACTTATAGGAGTTCGGGTTTTACCCATACCCACATGTGAAACGGGTAGAAAATCAAAATAATGCCCATAGTCGTTTGGGTTTTGGGTATCCACGGTTATCCATGGGTAATAATTTATCTTCATAACTCCAACCAATATGTTAACATTCACAGGTATTGTCACATTACGTAAGAGGAAAAGTACGACAATAATTCACTAGAATGAAGAAAATTAATTAAAACTACACAATTTCATGAAAATAATTATATTTATATGCTAAATAAAAAATATGTTAGAGAAAAATCATGATTATTTCTAGAAAAAATACATATGCATGTGTATAATCTGAGGGTTCGGGTTGGATAGTGAGAAAACTCATGCCCACCCATTATCCGCAATATTCGGGTTCGGATTTTACCCGTACCCACTAAATGTCCTTCGGGTTCGTGTTTTACCCTACCCGATTAGGCCGGATTTGGGTAGATATCCACGATTACGGATATTTTTGCCATGAGCTACCTAGTCTTGACAAGTGATCTCAGAGGTTGGTTCGAAGTTCCAGTTCAGGTTGTTGGACGTCAGTCATCAGTATGTATGGTGGACCCTCATTCGATAACCTCGGGATTTGAGATATGTGTTTGTTTGGCGGATCAGAGGAGATTCGCGTATTGTCTGGTGGGTCAAGGAGATCTGCATATGGTGAATCCTTGTTTCGTATAGCCTGTCGATACAAGATGTCTGGCGAATCAAGATAATCGCAGAGGAGAGAACACGAAGTTCATGGTCCTTATCTTGAGGTAATGATAGTTATGGGACAATTCAAGTCCACGTCGGGAATACAAGGAAAAAGACACTTGTATATTATTGCCCACCTAGGCCAATCAGTACTGAGCCTTTTAAAAGTAGATAACCAAAAGTAAATTCGTACAAACTTGACCCAAAACAGTCAATATTCGTACTAATTGAGCTACATGGTTCCGACACATACAAAACGTTCCACTTTGAATGGTTGCGTGAAATTTGATTTTAGAAGGCATGTCATCATTGACAGCGGCGGAGCCACTTGGAGAGGAGGGGGTGCTTTGCACCCCCTTGGGTTTGGAGAAAAAAATTCCGAGTAGGGGTATATACAAATTCGAACCAATGACCATTCAGTTGCAGGAAGAATTTCTTATCATTTCGATCGAGTGAGTTTTGTTATGTAATGCACTTTCGTCTTTATTTATAGTAATAAATTGTTGTCTTTTGTTTAAATTCGCTCTTTTTTTTGTAGCTCTACAACAGAGAAATTTCTTTTCTTTTGTTTAAACAAAGTTGAAAGTGAAGAAGTACCAATTGAAGTTCACTTGTTTGTTTCACAAAATCAATTCCAAGGTACTTCTGAGTTCTAATTTGTAGTATTTGATGAATGGAAGTCTTGATTTGTATGTACTGAACTTATTTGTTTGACGTTGTAACCGGTGTACGTGAAACTATTTTAATGTAATTGTGTGAATTTAGAGTATTGCGTTGTTGACTTTTTGTTTAATTTAAAGTTGACTTTTCTATTGTATAGGTGATTTTTTATGATAAGATAAAGACACTCCCTTGGCCAATTTCCTGGCTCCGCCACTGATCATTGATTAGGGTTTTGGGAGGGCAATGGGTGTATAACTGTTAGTAAATGATATATGGTCCACTATAGAATCTCTCCAACAACTCGAGTCATTGGTATCAATTAGTTTTTGACAACGGCGTTGGTGACTATGATGAGAGAATAAGCCATAGTTGCATAGATGAATACTACCTAATATATTCCTTCACACACACGGGGGAAAAAAACATACAATTTACCTCATTCTCTGTTGTTCTTCCCACAAATGGGAGCCGGCCAACGCATTGGAAAAGATTACACGTATGCACAACACAAGTGCATATATAAAACTAGAATTCCGTATCTTGTCGTGCTCTGCTTTGATTTCTTTCATCTTTTGATTAAAGGGTCGCAGATGAGACGAGAGAGCGAGTTTCTCCTTATCGTATTCTCAGCTGTGATGTTACCATCAAAGAGGTAGCGATCAATATGCACAAAGGAAGCCACAAAGAAGAAAGCAAAGAAGAGTCAATGGCGTATTTCATTCAGTAGAAGTTTAGGGGCCACTCGTTTGTTGTAATATGTATATGGACTCTAGTTTTTCATATCACTTTCGTGGATGGTGAGAGTGAAAGAAAATAGAGAGCAGCTAATGAAATCGTAATATGAGGTATCATATGCTAAACTGGTAGACGGTTTTAGCAATATGAAACGGTTGAATCGGGATCAAATCACGATCTTAGTATAAAATATAATACTACTGATTTTTCCAGTATCATATGATCTGGTACGAATCATTGAGTATGGTTGATATACCTATAAATACGTATTGTTATTCATTTGGAGAAGAAATTCATTACCGACAGTATATTTTTAACTCTCATGCATGAACACCCCGAACTCATAGAAGTAGTTAAGACGGGCACAATAACTCCGTCAATAATGAATCACCATGAGAAAAACATATGAATAACGACCGTCAAGGATGCCAACGTAGGTATATATTTCTTAATCCGAACCTTCAATTTTACAAACCCAACACCCAATAACGGATCTCCAGAGGTCGATCTTGTACCGTAAAAATCATTACTTTTGTCAGTGGATCCACTCCTAACATTCAATCATCGATCTAAATTACGTATATATGTCTCCTTAAATCTACGGTGGTGACATCATTCATTGCTGTCCATTGTCTTACCTGATTTGAACGGTTTTTGTTTGTAGCTCGTGAGAAACAAAATTCAGGCTTACAGAGAGGGCGTAAAAGATGGTCAACCTCCATACGTAAAAACCCAATTCGAAGATATAAGAAGCTGAAGTTTCCATGGATGAAGCACAGCAGAAGGAAGTGAAAAAAGGTCCACTGATGAAACCAATACCTCGTAACGAGCTACAAGATTATCTATTTGGTTGGAATTTTTGACGTATGAACATCCGAATTTCCCACTAAAAAGGGAAAAGAATAATACCCACGTGCAATTTAGTTTCCGGCATGCTTACCTACTTAATTACCTTACTTAACAAAACAGAATGCTGTCTCTTAATCCACACGTTTAAATTTCCACCCACGATTAGTATACTTGTGATTATGAGTTATGACTACCACCAACTAGCTAGCTAGGCGCCTAATAACACCAATTTGAGTTTTGAGACATCTTCAAAAACTTGAGTTCATTTCATTCCATATCTAAGCTTCAATGATCGAGACAAAAGACAGTAGCAACTAGCAATAGCTTACATTATATTAGGTGACCAATTCATGGAGCGAGAGTGTTTCGAGTGCTCCAGAAAAATGAGAGCCTCACTGGAAGTAATTTCTATATAGTTGTTAATAGGCCCACAATGATTAAAAAAGAAAGAGAGCTGCTGATGGGACTCTAATTAATATATAGCTTAAACGGGTTTCAAAATAACTAATCTATTTTGCCCCAAATTGCTTGAAAAACAAAATGACTACCTTTAATTAAATAATTATGGCCTCTAATTAATTTATAGCTTAAATGGGCCTTCATATATGTAATTTTTTTGCTCAAATTGCTTGGGAAACAAAGTGACTATCACTAACTAAATGATGAGCCTATATCTTATATGTGCAATTAGTATTATTCTCATTAATCACACCACCCAAGCAAGCAGTCGTAAAAGGTTAAAAACTGGATTACTTAGTTTAAGTAGTAATATTATACTTAATTTGTGGCTTAAACTCAAATCCAAATAATTTGATTTTACCCACATACATTCTATTTTACTCTTTGTTCTCCTCTTTGACTCAATTGAGTTCTCTAACCTATTCGGGTAGGTACAATTTATTGAGTAATCTTCCATTGAGTTACTAATAATGTTGGTGATGATAATGTTGCTCCTATTGATAATTTTAGTGATACCCTTGTTGAAAATCCTGATGCAAATGTTTATTTTTTCGATGAATGGGTGGGATTTTATTCATCTATATAATCAGTACATTGTTTGACTTGTACAAAACCTGACTGTCCGCAAAAAACAATAGAAATCTTACTTCTGTTACATTCTTTTCAACTAGCTAACTAGGCTTTATACCACAGGAATCTTGCAGCTGGCGACGCTGCAAAGTCTTGGTCTCCAAGCTCCTTCGCCTCCATTACCTTCTGCATCCTCAGAACCAGCTCAGCTGCTAGCAACTGCTTCCCTCCATAGAGTCTTCTGCATCTCTCTCTCCAGATTTCGCTCAACACAAGGCACCAAAGGATTCTGGCCACCTGACTTCCACCTAGTTTCTTATTTGATGTTACCACTGCCCCTGCAAGCTAGCTAGCCTCAATAGGAAGCTTCCATGAAATAGGAAACACAGCCTTCCAAACATCCTGCACATAACCACACTGGAAGAAAATATGTTCACGCGATTCATCTTCCTGCCTACATAAAGGACATGTTACATTTACCTCTGGATTTCAGCGTGAATTTTATCCAATGTAGAGATTCTCCCCAACAATATAAGTCATACTAGCAACGAGTTCTTGGGTATTCCTCTCTTCCATATCAACTTTTCCCATGCCACTGTCTACCCTCTTGATCTGATACTCTGGCACACCTTACTTGTCTGAAATCTGGCCATTTCAGCACCCTCTCATTCCACACCCCGAGCTGTTCTGCACAATTTATCTGCAAAAAGAGTTCGAAGCTGTAGGATTTTGTTCCAAACCCAAGAGCCTCTCGTCTATACTTCCCAGATGCTAAGGTTTCGAAGTTTTTACTCCTTTAACCAAGCGATCCAGAAGGTTTTTGGATCAGGCAGTACCCCCCCCATAGATGTCGTGCTAAACACGCTTTATTCCAAGAACTTAGGTCTTTGAATCCCATACCACCTTCAGCACGGAGTAGAGCCACCATTTTCCAAGCCACCCTTGCCTTTTTCTTCTTCTCTAAGTCACCCCAGAGAAATTGAGAGCAGATTCGCTCTATCTCCTTGATTACTTTCTTAGGGAGCAATATCACATTCATCCAATATTGAGTCATACTAGCTAGCACTGATATAACCAACTCGAGCTTTCCCGCATATGATAGAAGTTTAGGCTGCCATCCTTTGATTCTCCCATCAATTCTATTAATTAAAGCTTTACAATCTTCTGTCGAGAGTTTTCCTGCATTCAGAGGAAGCCCCAGATATCTAACAGGTAAGTGCCCTTCCTGAAAACCAGATGTTCTTGCTAGCTCAGCCCTTAACCCTTCAGACACCCTGAGCTGAATACTCACTCTTTCTTGGATTACATTTGAGTCTTGAGATTAGATAAAATTTCTGGAGGATCTCAGCTACTACTTCCACCCCTTCTACTGACCCTTTAGTAAAGAGCAGCAGGTCGTCGGCAAAAACATAGATGGGTGAGTTTTATTCTGCTGCAATGAGGATGATATGGAAGAAAAGATCTCTCTGTCGCATGATCTAACATACAGCTTAAGACCTCCATACTGATGGCAAACAGGTAAGGGGACAATGGACACCCTGCCTTAGTCCTTTCCTTGTCGGGAAGTTCCCTGTTAGACCTCCATTTATACACACTGTGAAACTAGCTGACTCCAGACAACTCTTAATCCAAAGAACAAACTTCTCAGGGAATCCCATTGCTATTAAAGCACAATTCACAAAATCCCAGTCTACACTATCAAATGCTTTCATGATATCTATCTTGAGAGCACATCTGAGGGAGACATTTTTCCTTCTATACCATTTAACTAACTCATTTGCAAGCACAATATTATTAACAACCTTCTTTCAATAAATGATGACTGGTTAGGGCTTATCAGCTGTGGTAGAACTTTTTTAAGACGGTTAACTAAGAGTTTGGAGACACACTTATACACCAAATTGTAACAGGAAATTGGCCTGAAGTTTTTCATAGAGGAAGCATTACGTACCTTTGGGATTAGGGCTAGGATGGTACAATTGACTTCTTTACGTAATGTTCCAGTTCGAAAGAAATCCTGAATAGCCAGAGTAAACTCAGTCCCCACAAGCCCCTAGTGCTCTTGAAAGAACTGAGCTGAGTACCTGTCAGGTCCAGGTGCCTTTCCTTTCTTTATTCCCATCACAACCTCTCTAATTTCATCTGTTGTGACCATAGCACATAGATTCACCGAGTCTTCTTCTAAGTGAAACTTTAGCATCTTTCTAAGAGTGTCTACAGTGACCCTTTTTAGCTTGGTATCCTGAGTTCCCAGTAACTTCTTGTAAAACTCCACTGCCTCGTGACCAATTTCCTCAATATCCTCCACTATTGTTCCTGTCTCAGTAACCAACTGTTTTATTGTATTCTTAGCCTGCCTTGTTTTGACCATACTGTAAAAGAATCTGGAGTTCGAATCTCCACAATTCACCAACTGTTGTTGTGACTTCTGTCTAAGGAATGACTCTTTAGCTTTTTGTATTGCTAGAAGCTGGACCATACACCTATACTCAGCCTGAAAAGCTAACGAGGCAGGGCGCTCCAACACTTCCAGCTGAGCTTTTGTCAAGTTCTTCCCTTGCTATGTTAACTTTTTCATGTATATCCGAGTAGCTCTCCCTGTTTAGATTCTTCAGGCGCACTTTGATATTGCGGAGTCTCTGGTATAACCTAGTCATTGTTGTGCCCGTGAAAAAACAGATCTAACCTTCTTTTACTAAGTTTTCATATTGTGGGTGTAGCTTCCAAAAACTGGAATATATGAAAGGACGAGGCAGAGTTTTAATCTTGGAGTCTTCACTAATGAGCAACCCACAGTGATCTGAAAGCCTAGGAAGAAGAATCTTTACTGAACTTCTAGGAAAATTTTCCACCCATCCTTCCGAGACCAGCACTCTATCCAATCGCTTTGCTATAGGGTTTGCCACTTGCTTGTTAGACCATGTGAACCAAGGCCCTAGAGCTGCATGATCAATAAACTGCAAGTCTTCAATCCAGGCCTTAAAATGCTCAACACTCTCACCCAATCCACCAGAATTAAAAGATTCAGTACTGTCCACAATCGCATTGAAATCCCCTGCCACTAGCCAAGGATTAGTCAAGTCAGTCTTCCCTTTGATTTCGAGATAAGTCGATTGCCTTTCAACTACTTCATTTGAACCATACATGAAAGTATATTGCATAGGAACCCGTCCCTGAAGAATGCCATGGACATAGAAACCATTACTATCTACCACCCTAAAATTTAACCCCTTTTCCATAAAACCCATATTCTACCTACTCATCTGCAGAGTAGGTGTCTTTGTATTCCCAGTCCGGGAAGTTTTCGGTTATTATCTGCTACACTTTTTCTTTATAACTCGAGTTTCCAATATTGCCACTATCTCCACCTTATAACGATGAATCATTTTCACTATACTCGCCTGCTTGTCAGGGTTGTTAAACCCCCGCATATTCCAAACAAGGACATTCATTACTTGATGCTAGTTTTTGCCCCCTTCGGAGGCCGACCTGGTTTACCCTTCTTCTTTTACTGACCACCTAATGCAGGGAAATGGACAGGATCATTTAGTGGTGAGACTGCAATCTCTCCTACTTCAAACTAAGTCAGAGAAGCTAGAGCATCAATATAGTTATTAGAGGGAAGATGATAAACTTCAACTGCCTGCTGAAACTCTTTGTCAGAGGGGAGATTACATCCCTGCCAAACAGATCCCATAGTCAAAGATGTAACCAAATTCTCTATTGCCTTCTTCAACCCTGCTTCCTCCTGAATTACATTTGCACAAAGTGAATCACTCACATCTTTCTGCATTCCCGCTACATTGTCAGCAAAGGTAATCTCCACTTCAATACTCCCACTGGTTGCACTACTCTCAGTTACTTCTACCTAAACTATTTCCACATTCTCAACGACTTCTTCAACCACATTCTGCCTTCCATCTCTCCCTCCTCCTTCTCCGGAGTAACTAGCTCCACCTTCTCACAATCGTGACCTAACCTACTACATTTCTTACAAAGTTCTGGTTTATTGCAGAATTCGATGTTAACATTGTAGGCAGGGCGACGATCAGGGACCAGCCTCAACGAATCCGGAAAAACAGAATCAACGCCCATCTCAACACAGACTCTTGGATACCCAAGCCTTTGCCCTAGTCGACTGGACTTATCAAACCAGAGAGGGCGCCTTATCATGCTTGCTAGACGCGTAAGAATCCTCTCCGTTACGTGTTCTAGAGACAGGTCAAGAATACGTAGCCAAATCGAAATCGTAGGTCGAGGTTGTTCAGCTCTGATACCCGACTCCCATTTCCTCAAGTAGCACATGTCATTCCTTAAATGCCATGGTTCGCTGGAGAAAACCCATGAGAAGTATATATAGTACATTATTATCTCCAACGTTCTAATCCAATATGGTAAATAATAAGATTACATATCAGGTCCAGCACAGAAGCCCAAATGTGTACAAATCATATCAACAGATAATCCGATTCAAGTCGACGACAGATAATCTGATTCAACTCATATCAACAGTTTCTAGGGATTGAGTTGTCAAATGAACTTTGTAGTCGGGAAGAAGTGTGGTAACTGGCTTCGAATGTAACATGTATATTAAGAAGAGGGGGAAGGGTTATTCTTTGGTTCATTTGGGGTCCCTGAAAAATACAGATATGTTCTATCTATTTGCAGTAGTCCCCCACTCCCCCACCAAAGCCAAACGTCCCAAGTTAAAGGGCACTTCCTGCTTTCACAAAAACCAGGCCCGGCCCTCCTTTCAACAGAAACGAATCCATCCATCCCCACGTCTCTGCAGTCACCATCCTCATGAATTAGAATGCATCCGTCGCACGTTCTTTCAGCTGCATCCACATAAATATCTCCAAACTCAAACGTATGAGCAATACTAATCTCTACATGTTTCCATCAGCTTAGAAACTTGGCAATTCATTAACGGGTAGGGGGTCATAAAACTGTAGGGACCCGAACCGCACCACTAATTATAAAACCAAAACCGATAGTCCGAATTTACACTATATTTGAAGTGAAATTGTTAAGGATCCTTGAAGGTTCGGCTTTGGTCTGGAGGAACGGACAATCGTTTGAAACGTGAACCTATTTTGTTCGTGTATTTGGCCATTTGGGTGTCGACGGATTTGATGTTAATCAAACTAAAATCGACTAGAACATATCTGTTAATAACCATTAAAAACACTTGTTATGGAGTTTTTAATGGTTCGGTTAAACAGAACCCATTCTAGCAGCCCTAACTTTGACCACCAAATCCTAACGCAATTTACAAATTTGCATGGCTGTATAACTGGAATAAGGACTAAAAGTTCACTGTATCAAACTATGTTTCCATACTCTTCGTTAAGCTATGGTTAACAACATCGAATAACGCGGTTAGCAGCAATGGAGTAAGAAAAGAATAACAAATTGAGATCGTAACGTAAATGATTAGCGGTTAGTTGCGGTTAACCGCGGTGGCAATAAAAAATAAGGTTCTCGTAGGTGAGATCTGAACCGTTCATTAGCTCTATTTTTTCCTTTTTTTTAAATGACAATCAAGATTAAATTCATGATAGTTTGGAAATCAAAATAATATCACACGAGATTATTACCTATATTTATAACTTACATTCCCCAACCCTACGTCTACCCTCATCACCCTACCACCTCTCCTCCCGCTGGTCGCCTCCCCACCTCACCCTCCCTAACTCCCCACCCCATCCCACGACCCTCCCCTCTCTCTCTCTCTCTCTCTCTCTCTCTCTCTCTCTCTCTCTCTCTCTCTCTCTCTCTCTCTCTCTCTCTCTCTCTCTCTCTCTCTAACAACAGGAAGGAGCCTATGGACAAGCGTCCTGGGCGAGTACAGGACCGCGGAGGTCGTCAAAGCAAACGCTAGCGCTGGCCATCCTTTTATCTTCGACCCTCTCGTCTCAATGGTATTGTTTTTGTCTCATTGGTATTGATTATCATGTAATGATATTAATTTGCATGTACTGGTATTGATTAAATCTGCAATGGTATTGATTTTTTGTGAAATGGTATAGATTTATATTGGTAGATTGTTTATATTGGTAGTTTTTGTGTAATGGTATATATTTATTTCTACAATGGTATTGATGTTTTTCAAAGTGGTAGTGGTTGTCTAATGGATTGGTAGTGATTTCGTGTTTTTTTTCTTTTGCAGAAAGATTGAGAAAAATAAGGAAAGGGATCTAGCTGGAGATTACGAAAGTGAGAGAAAGAGAAAGAATTGTAATTAATAGATTTTTGTAACTACCTAAAATGTAATTTATTAAAAAATTAATTAATATGATTTATTTTTCATATCCAATTTACCCTTAGTAACCATGGTGATTACTACTTTTGTAGTAATCACTGTAACCTGTCCCACTTTGAGGCCTCTGGAAGAACAAAGAGAAGGTCACCGATGATTGTGTAGGAGAGGAGCTAGGATGGAAGGCGCTGAGGTCTGAGCCTATAAGGTCTATAAAAGAACAAAGAGAAGGTCATTGGCTTCTCGGCTCACTACTCATGCTCTGCTCGAAAGAAGGCGAGATAGAATGTGCAGAGTCGCTAGAACAAAGTCGGCAGCACTCCTCACTGGCGATCGATTCCTCTCGTCTATTGAATCCGTTCGGCACTCTGGTCTCCATGTCGGCATGTCTCCAGTAACCATATGAAAGGATTTCGTTATACAATTTGACCAGACAAGGCTGAACTGTTGGATTCAATAACATCTGAAATTCGAATCACTATTTCACTAAAGTTTGCTACCATTCTGAAGAAGGGTAAAATAAAAGCGGTAGTAATCACCGTGGCTACTAAGAGTAAGAATGGTATTCTGGTGCTTATTGTTTTGGTAGTGATGCTATGTTTTATTGTTAGTGTTTACATTGGTATTGGTGTATATTTGTTTTGATAGATTGGTAGTCAATATTGAAATTGAGTTGGATGCAGAGGGTCTGCATAATGGTTGTAGGATGTGCATGGTTTGATATTGGTTCAGGTGTAGTACCATTAAAATGAATTGTTTTGTTTGTCCCTGTGTTTTAAAGGTATTATTGTCTGTAGTTATGTGTTGGTAGACATATTGTTGATGTCGGTCATCATCAGACGTCAAAGGACTATGATTTATTATTGTTTTGGTATTGATATATATTTTTATCGGTATATATGTTTGGTTTGATATGTATTGGTGTGGTCATATGTTGTTCAGCCGAACTAATACCGCTGCAACAACAAACAATAAATCAATACCAATTCATTACACAAACACTATCATTGCACAAAACACCAATACCATTCGAGAAATAAAAACACTATCATTCATAAAACACCAATATCATTGCATAATGAATACCATTACATGATAATCAATACCAATGCAAAAAAAAACACTACCAATACGAAAAGAATCACTACCATTTCAAAAAATACAAACCAATCCTTCTACTCTCTTCACGTCAAATCCTCGATCAATATTCTTCCTTCCAAATCAAAACACAATTAGCTTGCCAATATAATCAATAGGTTCAACAAAGAAAACCCAGAAGCAATAAAACAAAATTAAACAACTTACACACTTATAATTCCCTCCAATGAAGAACTGCAAGCATAGGATGAAGAAACACAAAACAAATCCGATTGCTTTGAGGCAGGAGGGTCGGAGAGAGAGGATGAGGGGAGGGATGGCCGGCACGTCGGAGAGAGAGGGAGGGGAAGGAATGGCCAGTGTAGGCGGTGCGAAAGTGATAGACCGTTAATTACACATGTTTTTACCCCTGTTCTTACACCGTTTGAGATGTGATTTCCCGTGTTTTAGGCCGATTTCACGCTAGGTTGTGCTTGTTTGTGATATTTCAGGACCTAGTACGTGAATGGAGGCTTGGGAGCGAGTTTGGGGTCGATTGGACGAAGATCGGGCGCGAAGCAAGTCACAAAGGAGGCCACACGGGCACACCCACAAACCACACGGCCGTGCAACTCATATTTCTGGCCGTGTGAGATTGTGCGAGAGCAAACACGGCCTGCCCTGACAACTCACACGGCCGTGTGAAGAAGTGGTCTGGCCGTGTGACTTTTGCCGAGAGCAGACACGGGCAGATGGAAATCAAACACGGCCGTGCCACTCTGGCCGTGTGAGAAGCCTGAGTATCGAACTAAGTGGAACGCAGCGTTTTGACTCACACGGGCAACTGGGTATGCCACACGGCCGTGTGGCCCTGCCCGTGTGAGTCGGGATTTCCTGGTTTAAACCCAATTCCGGGCTGCAAGAGAGAGAATCGGACTTTTTGAGCAAAAACAGAGTTTTAGAGAGAGAAAGGACGAAGAACACATCCTAGAAGCCATCTTGGAGCTGGGTTTCATCAAATCAAGCTTGGAGATCGTCATAGGAGTGGAAATCATCATCCCAGAGCAGATTTTCCTCATCTTTATGAGTATGACTACTTTGTATCTTGTTTTCCTCTCTCTCTCTCTATGGAGTAGAACCCCTCTCTCACTTGGGGATGAAGAACCCTAGTTCTATGTGTTAGGGATTGATTGTAATGACTTGGGATGATATTACTGTTTGATTTTAATCGAATGATGCATGTTTATTGAGTCAATTGAAATCTGATCAACTTTTCCTGATTCCTGCTGCAATCTGAGATAGATAGAATCTGATTAGGTTGCTAGAGTCTCATCATTCGGTAGTAGGAGATTGGCTATACGAGAGTTAGCCAGTTTACTGCTTTGTACTGGAATCCAATTCCAGTAGTGGAGTTCTGTTCTTACTGCTTCAGCTTTCTATCCCGGTGAAGACTAGTCGTCTGCCGGGTAGTTAGACTGAGAGGGCTTGGTCAGCTTAAGAGATTCCAAGCTACTGTCAGATCTTCCGCAGTCTAATCAACAGTAAATCAACCCAGGGAAATTGCAATTGAACCTAACTAAGGAGCTAGGGGGACTCATTCCCGAGTGACTCTTACCTGCTTGAGAAAACCGAATAATTTCCTGCTTTATTTCTGCTTTTGCTTTTAAACAACAATCACTTACTTTAGTTGGCTAGATAACAGAGAATCACTGAGTAAGCAGTAGATCTAGACCCCGGGTTGATAATATAACTTGCCTGTTACTGCATTCCCGGTCTGCGATTACACTTGGTCGCAGATTGGTGTTGTGTTTTGCCGTGTCAAGTTTTTGGCGCCGTTGCCGGGGACCCTCTAGGTTATTGGGGAAACGTGAGGATTTGTTACTCTAGCTTTTTATTTACTGCATTTTATCTCTTCCACCTGTGTGCCTTCACGGGTTGCTTCTGCTGATTGTGTGCAGGTAGTGCATGACCCGTAGCCAGTCGGGAGATTTACTACCACTAGACTAGGAGCTTGAACGAACCTGCAGAAACTTCAAGCGGGCTCTAAAGGCGCGACTGGCTGCGGAGGAGGCGCTATCACAGCTGCAGTTAGAAGAAGAGGAAGAAGAGATGGCTGATCCACAGGACCATGCTGTGATCGATCCCGAGGAGCAGACCATGGGACATTACTGGACCGCCAGGGCTGCAGACATGAGGTCACCCATTCAACACCCTCATGTCCCAGCCAATAATTTTGAGGTGAGCACCTCAGTAATCACCATGCTGCGCGGTTCGGTGATGTTCCGTGGCAAAGAGGGGGAGTGCCCCCGATCACATCTCAGGCGATTCCATGAGCTCATTGATGGAATCAAGATCAATGGGGTACCAGCAGATGCCATCCAGCTGAGGTACTTCCCATTTACTCTGGAGGGGCAAGCCAAGGAGTGGCTAGACACTCGACCTCCGGGCTCCATCACCACGTTCGCCAACCTGGCGGACAAGTTCCTTACCCGCTACCATCCTCCGTCCAAGACGGCGGACTTGCAGAAGCAGATCACCCACTTCACTCAGGATGAAGATGAGACCATCCGGGACGCCTGGGAGAGATACAACAGCCTCTTCCTGAGGTGTCCCAATCATGGTTTCAACGATGCTTTCAAGGTGGGAACCTTCTATCACGCCCTCTTCCCGGAGGACAAGCAGCTGACTGATTCGGTTTGTGGCGGGAACATGCTGACCAAAACACCGCCACAGCTGAATCAACTCTTTGAGGAGATGGCGGAGAACGGGTACGATTGGGGCACTGCCAGGAAATCGAGGAGAGCACCAGGCCGGGGTGTGCATGCTCTGGGCACCCAGTCATCTGATTTGGTGCAGGTGGTATCGAAGCTGGTTTCAGCTATCGATCGTTCTGGTTTGATTGCAGGTACCGGACAGCAGCAGGCTATGCTCTGCCAGTGGTGCGAGAGCACCCATCATACAGTGGAAGATTGTCAGGCGATGAAGGAATCGACCACGCCCCATGAGCAGGTGAACTTCATCAACAATGTCAAGCGCAATGACCCCTACAGTAACACCTACAATGAGGGGTGGCGCCAGCATCCCAACTTCTCCTGGGGTGGGGCAAATTCCAGACCACCAGTCCCCCAGGGACCACTGGGCTTCCAGAGGCCACCATATCAGCCCAGACAGGGGCAATTCCAGCAGCAGCAGTCTCTCTACCAGCCCATGCAGGAGCATGCTGCTCCATCACAGCCGCGAC